GAATGAAAGGAAAAGTAATACGTTGTGGTGGGATGATGAGGTACGGATGGAAGTTGAAGCAAAGAAGAGAGCATGGCTAGATTTAATAGCAACTAAAGCTGGTAATTCTGGCGGTATGAATGATGAGATTGAAAGAAAAAAGGCAGACTTTAGACGTATAAATAAGAGAGTAAAAGAAGTTGTTGAAAGGAAAAAGCAAGAAAGGATAGATAAAAATGATAGAAGGATATCTGATAACTTCCAGGAAAATATTAAATGTTCTGGAAGCTCGTAAGAACTGCCAGGGGAAATTCAAAACAGCCTAGAATGAATGCTATGCGAGACGAGAATGGCTGCATGTTGAATGATGAAGTTTCGAATTTAAAGAGATGGAAGGAATACTTTGAAAGCGTTTTTTGTGAAAGTGAAGAGTCGTCTGAAATAAGTGAAATAAAAATTCCGGAAGAAGTGGAGAGAGGTAGGGAGATAAGTGTAGATGAAATAATGAAAGCAATGAAAAGCATAAAAGCAGGTAAGGCAGCCGGATATGATAGAGTATCACTCGAAATGCTAAGGGCTGGTGAGGGTGTGGTTGCAGGCCTGCTGTACACCTTGTTTAATTTATGTTGGGAACTGAAGCGGGTACCGGAAGACTGGTGCAAAGCCGTTATAGTCCCAATATATAAGGGAAAGGGGTCGCAGCAGGACTGTAAAAACTACCGTGGTATCAGCTTGCTTAGCATTGTGGGTAAACTGTATGCTAAGGTGTTAATTGAAAGAGTTATGGAAGAAACTGATGGAAAAATTTGGGATATGCAAGCTGGATTTAGAAAGGGGATGGCGAGTACGGATCAAGTCTTTTCCATGCGCATGATAGCGGAGAAGTTTTTGGCTAAAAACCAGAAAGTTTTTTGTGCGTTCATGGACTTGGAAAAGGCTTATGACAGAGTGGACAGGAATGTGTTATGGCAAACACTGAACTCATTTGGGTTGAGCGCTGGCTTGATACAGGCATTAAGGTCTCTTTATAGGAACTCTAGTGCTTGTGTCAGGATCAACGGGGTCTACTCGGACTGGTTTGGCATTCATAAAGGTGTCAGACAGGGATGTGTGGCTTCCCCGTGGCTGTTTAACCTATTTATGGACAGTTGTTTGCAAACTTTGAAAGTTGAAGAATGTGGGTTGAGAATGGGTGAGTCAACCGTCAAATGCCTTTTGTACGCCGATGATCAAGTCATATTTGCATCGTCGGCGGCCGAGTTGCAAATGATGGTTACTTTAATTAATTGGTCATTGAAAGAAAGGGGTATGAAAGTGAACGCAAGTAAGACAAAAGTGATGGTTTTTGAAAGAGAAGAAAGTAAAACTTTATGTGAAATAAGAATAGAAGGGGAGTTGATTGAGCAAGTGGATGAGTTTGTATATTTGGGATGTTTATTTAGCAGGGATGGTAGATATGATAAGGATATAGAACGACGAGTGAACGCAGGAAATAGAGTGAATGGGGCTCTACACGCTATTATGAGGAGTCAAAATGTGTCAACTAAGGCACGTATGGCAATTCATAATGCTGTGTTAGTCCCTACTTTAATGTATGGTAGTGAAAGTTGGGTCTGGCAGAAGAAGCATGAGAGTAGAATAAATGCTGTAGAAATGCGTTCCCTAAGGAGTATGCTAGGGCTGAATCTGAATGACAAGGTGAAAAATAGTGTGATAAGAGAAAAGTGTGGTTTGCAAGATGACGTTGTGACAAGGATTAAGAAAGGAATGCTTCGGTGGTTTGGTCATGTAGAAAGAATGAACGAGGAAAGAGTGACTAAGCAAATTTATGTTGCAGAAGTGAACGGCAGGGTCGGGAAGGGACGCCCTAGACGAAGGTTTATCGACCAAATCTGCGATACATTAAAAATGGGCCAGATTAGGAGTACCCTTAACCGACGAGCGTGTATGCGTAGATATATGGATGTAAAAGAGGCGAGAGAGGTCTGTCAGGATCGCGCCAAATGGAAGTCCGTAGTCTCTGCCTACCCCTCTGGGTGGCAGGCGTGAGTGTTTATGTATTTATGTATGTATAATTCGGTTTTGTACAAAAGCGTGTTTTTTCTTTTGGAACGAAGTTCTTTTACGCGGCTTAAAGTAGATTGAACTGGCGTTAGAAATCGTAGTTGTGTTATGAAATAATGAAATAAAATTCTGAGGATCCTGGCAAGGATAATGGGACAAACTATTTAAATTATTGCATTGTCATCGGTCCTTGGTAAGTAGTTTCATAAGAAGTTTCAAATCAATCCGACGTTTTGAAGGGGATGAAAACCACATTAAAAATTCCGTTACATAGATAGGGTAAACAGTACTAATGTTGGCACTCCTTCAATGATTGGCACTTTGCTATTTTAATCTGAATATTAAGAATATTTTCCTTTTTCTATATCACAGCTACACAGATATTGCTAAGATATATAATTACTTATACTAACAACACATATTTATATTTAAAGCGTCAACTATTTTCCTATAAGGGCTGTTTTAAAAATGTGCTTGAACAAATTCGTTAAAATTTGACAAAAAGTTAAGGTTTGGTGGCTAGATTTTGAAACAAAAAAGTGATTTTTAGGTAAGTTTATATGCAAGTTTCTGTCTATTTTAATCAATTAACGTCATTAAAGCATATTAAACGTTATTTTATCGTTGTGAAACAGAAGCATCGGTTTTTTTTAATTGTGCCAATGACTATACTTTACTTTGTTTGACTACATAATCATTGGCATATATGTCAATCACTATACTTTCTTTCTTTTGTACAAAATCTATTCTTGACACTGCCAATGACTATATCCTTTGAGTAGTGCCAATGATTATGACTGAACTTTTTCATATTTTGAATTGATGAAGAATACTGCTATTAAGAGAGTGCGTTTTAGAAAAATACCTGCCGCACTAACGTTTAACATTCCACGCGCGAATTTACAGTTCCCACTAAATAAGTAAAGTCAAAAAAACTTACAAGCTGAAAAGCCGACCTGGTACTGGCACAGTTTTCGAAGTCATAAAAATGTCAATGATGTGAGGTTTTTGAATAAATACCCCATACATACTAAACCGTTTTATAGAGAGAGAATAAAACGTCTATGAGGTGGGTCATGCCTAATCGAAGTCTTGCATCACTGTTCTTTGGAGTAGACGGTAAAACCTATTATTTTCCCCCTATAGAAAATGTGATCAGACGTTCAAAAGTTAGTGCCTAGAGAGAGGGTTATTTACTATCTTAAATACGGCGCAACTTTGCCCAAGTCTCGCCATAATACTTATAGCCCTTAACCTGAATTCAACGCGACTATTGCAACCAGCTGATATCACTGCATTTCGGCCCACCAAAGATATGTGGCGTAAACCTGTCTTCGAATGACAGACAAACAATTTGACAAAAAGGTTACTAAAACAGATGCGGGCCTATATTAGCAAGACTTTTATCGTATTGAAATAAATCTACATTATGAAATGTTTTATGTATGTATAATATAAGACATGTGGATTGTGCCCATTTAGTCCAGAAAGTGGATTAAACAAAGTATCCGGTGCCCTCGAAATCACAGCAAGCCATTTTAGATGATCACCGTTCCTTGCCATTATGCCGAATTACCTAATATTTTAAGAATAACGACTAATAACGACTGAATCAGAAATACCTTTATCAAATTTGCCTTGTATCCTTTCACTTAATAATGGTTTATCAGTACCAGAGCGTATATAACCTGCAGAGACTATTGTTGAGTATCAGAAAGAAAACTAACCCTTATGTTTTTCATCAACTAGGCAGCAAATTTAGAATTTGTTGGAGGTGAATGGGTGATTGTGGATGTCGAAATAAACTAAAATCTTTTAGAAAGCCGTAAAAATATTTATAGTATTTTCCATTGCCAAATACGTATCAAAAAGCAAAAAGCAGGTAAATAACGCAGTTATTTTGTACTAACAAGTGAAGATCCGGAAGCAGCGGAGCTAAAAAAATAATGGAAAAATGGGGCAATGGGACACATGGAAAATGCAGAATTGAATTAGTCAGCCAAATATAGAAACAAACTGACTAACAAAACAAGAAGAACGTAGCCAAAAAGTCTGACATTATAATACTCTGTAAATTTTTAATCTAAAAAACCGAAATAAAGTTCTATTTCTACAAAATATCGAGAAAATACGAAAGGTTTTACTAAAAAACGTCACATCAAAAATGTATACGAAGAAAGAAAAAACATAGTAGACCACCGAAACCGCTTTCAGATGAACATCTAAGGAAAATATTGAAGAATATTTGTTCAAAATAAGATGGAGCTTAGAAAGATCTGGGTATAACTTTTTAAGACTTCCAATGGTGCCAATGATTATACTTAATTGACAGTGCCAATCACTATGCTAAAGTGTCAATGATTGTAACATTCCTTAGAAAAAAGTTTAATTAGATTTTTAACTTAATTAAACATATATTTTTAAAAATAATGCGTTATTTTATTTATGGCTATGTAAACTAAAATCCAACAAAACAATAAAAAATATAACAAATTTGTTTATTTACGAGAATTAACCACTTACAAGTAGAAATCCGTAAAAGTGCCAATCATTATACTGCTTACCCTACATACCAAGCTAATAAAATCGTGTTAAAAAGATTGAAAAACTTTTTGATTTTGTAACTAATACAATCTATATGAAATAATTCACATGCCATGTGTTTCTGTACAAAAATGGTTATATAGTTCCCGATGCATATAAGTGTTCGCCGCGCTGCCCCAATGCGTGTTAGCGAACTTCACATGTCTTCGAAATATTTTTTTTCTTATTTCACGAGGATTTCTTTCACCACCGAGCATATAGTAAATCACCTCTTAAAAATGTAATTAACAATTCCATTGATGTCAGCGGGGATCGAACCCAGGTAGCCCGCGTACTATAAAATTATCTCAGCACACACAATTATGATTCGATTAATAAAAGTTATTAAATAGTCATATATTTATATTTCGCAGGTGAAATCAGTCACGTTAAACGAAGAAAGTGCAAGAAACGTGCAAGGATTATGGGCGTCCATCGTGTCTCAGACAGTACCGTTGTTGAAGCCGCCCCTACTGAAGAACACTTTGATATTGTCCGTGATGTTCGTGTTGGTGTACTTTTGGTGAGAGATATCTTGTATGATTAAACAATATCCAACAGACCAAATTTCGGTCACGGCGGCTAGTTTCCATTGGGTGATTTGCGCAGGGCAGAAATTATGGTTTGCGAGTGTGTGCGCGAGCACAGGTGCACTCTCTATTCCTCACCCTCATAGTCCGATGGAACAGAAATCAGTTGCAGGACCAATGGCTTTACTTGCTTTCCGAGACATGGGGGTCCGAGACCACCAATTTCCTGACTACGGGCGGCTACTGGGAATTCTTAACAGAAAAAACCTAGCTGTTTTGATTTTTGCTCGACCCGGTATTCGAACCCGGCATTCCATGATCAGCAATCGCGCTTAGACCACTGAGGCAGTAGCAATAAATCTTTCTTACAACGAAAAAGGCCCACGTCCATTGAACTTTCACGGGTATGTAATGAAGAAGTGTGATTTAATAATAAGGGATGTATATTTTAGTTGTAGCACGAATGGGTCGGTGCGACCGGGGAAGGACCACGCTCTCACAGAATACCAGCGTAAAATAGCAACTTAATACTGCTGTGTTTCGTATGGTGAGTGTAGAGAACCGGAGACCCTTTTTACTGGAAAAGAGGCAATCCATCTCAGTCCTCATGGCCGACATTGCATCTGTATTTTGATTCGCAAACCAGGATAGATGTAGATGTCTATGGGTCACAGCAACCACTTACCATCAGGTGGACTGTGTACTCGCTTGTCACCCTTATCTCATAAAAAAAACATCGACCTGGTTAGAGTAACGCGCCCTTTTTACTGAAAACGAGGATTTCCATCGTAGTCCTCAAGGGTGACAACGCACGAGTATCTTTTTGATTCTTAATCGAAGATAACTCAACGCTTACCATCAGGTAGACTATGTGCTCTTTTGTCACTCCATTCTATAAAAAAAAAACACATAAAAATGTGTTCTGTTATGCAATAGTAACGATAACTGGAGACCCTTTTACAGGTAACGAGGGATTTTATTTTAACACTTACTGCTTTACTCGTGACCGAACGATGACGGAAAATTCTCCCAACAACGCTGAACTCAATTCTTACAGACTGGTGATGGGAGCACCATTACCGTTGCGGGATAATCGGCTCTGTCCTCACAAACCCACCACAAAATATCATTAATAGAATCAGGCGTTACTTTGCGGAAATCCAATATATAAAAGCTTTTAGAAAAATTTACTTCGCAAATATCCGCGTTATAGAATAAAATGATGTGTCTTACCTAGTACGAAGAGCACCTCCCGCCCTCCCTCAATTGCGTGTACTATCCCCGTCACCACTAATCCCAGCACCGTGGTGGTAGCGGTAAATTTTTCTAAAAGCTTTTACAAAATATCATCATAATAATGACAGCCTATCACAAGTCCACTGCTTAACAAAGGCCTGTTCCTAAAAATGCCACAAAGCAAAGCCTGGGCCACCTGCACCTATCGACTTCATGCATCCCTTACCAGATCGTCACTACATTTAGTGGGAGGCCGCCAAATACTTTGCTTTTCGATACGAGGCTGCCATTCGAGAACCTTTCCACATCGGTTGTCTGTTATTCGAGCTATATACCGTATGCCAGCAGGCATAAAATGTTCAGAAAGTTCGATGCTCTGTGGTTGAGACAGGAAGGGAGGATATTTAACTAGCTTACCGCCCCGGCTCCGAACTAGTAATTTCTAGATCACGATAACAGCATCACCTACCGGGTCCAAACCCTGTGCTGCAGCATGAAACTGCGAAAAGGATCGGCCTCAGTGATAGCACTGGTTTTGAGTCCGTTATGATGATATGCTTATTTTTAACATTACTCTTTCCAGCTTGAATCCATATATGGTTTGGTTGCCTTATATCGCCGATGGTATAATGAGGTCCATGGAGAGAGGAGAAAGCAATATCACGTTTTGTCAAATGTTGCAGACGTCATTGGACGCTAGCACAGAACAGGTATACCTGTTTTTTTTTAAATAAAAGATTAGGTGACAGGTTAGTGACAGGCTCTTGCTGGTAAGTGGTTGCTATGGACATACATCTTTCATAGATTCAGAAGCGAAATGCAGATCCGTTGTAACTTCTGTCGATAAAGAGAATGCCTTATTTTAAGTAAAAACTGAAAATATGAGTAAGACTTGTAATCTTAAAACGTGGGTAAAGTTTTTTACTTCACTATAGACCTGCACAAGTCCATTGCTGAACATAGGCCTTCTTCAAGGAATGATAAAAACATGGTCTTGAGCCACCTGCATCCATCGATTTGATGTTTCATCGGGTGTCGTGAGAGGCGACAGAGGAAAACTGAAACAGAAATGGGCAGTTACATCTACCTAATAACAACTCAAAATAATAATAACTGCGGTTGTAAACCCGCCTGTTTAAGTAGCGGCACGAAAGTCTAGTAGTGACCGTTATTGCGCATAAGTCGAAAATAAGGTATCATGGTAGTAAGCTGGTCGGAGTGCGGGCGTGCATATCGATCGTACGCGCTGATTGGCTCTCCAGTCGCATTCGTGCAATTCAATCCGAGCGCGATAGTACCCATGCGCAGCTATCCCTTCCATGTTTAATTTAGCGCTAGACTTACGTGCCGCGAATTGTAAGCGTGAAAACTATGACAAAATCTCCCCTTTGAGGCCTTATGTATTTGAACATGGGAGTTGTAGTAATAGATGGATTGAAATACATAATACTATTATTGACGTTGCAGAACGTGACGAAAAGTACGTGCGATTCACTTAGCATATGTCGTGGCAAACCATGGCTGTTTCAAGTGTAGCCTATTTCGTACTTATCGATTTGTTTTTAATCTTGATAATCTTCATTACGTGAAAACGTCACGTTTTTGTTCCAGACTGCGAACTGTGGTTTAAACCAATTCGCCATGAGCATGGTGTTCGGCATAAATCTGTTTCTGGCGATTCTCAACAGCGTGCTGAGCACTGTCATACATTTTTGTGGCAGGAAGACCCTTCTCCTTACAATTCAGGTAAAGTTTTTTAACGAGAGGGAAACAAATCAGGTAATGAACAGCAGCGTCTTCCTAATAACGACTAAAAATAAAAAACTGCGGTTGCCAACCTGGTTGCCAAGCGTGGCTACTATGGAAAATACCCCCCTATGAGGCAATCTATGGGGAAGGCCTATGTTCAGCAGTGGACTTTAATAGGCTGTAATGGATGGATGTATAGAAGATAATCTACCAGGAGCACATGACCCACTGAGAGTTGAAATTTTTAAATTAACAGTAACATTACAACTATGGCAATATCCTCCCTACGAGGCAATCTATGGGGGAGGCCTATGTTCAGCAGTGGACTTTAATAGGCTGTAGATGGATGTATAGAAGATAATCTACCAGGAGCACATGACCCACTGAGAGGTGAAATTTTCAAATCAACAGTAACATTACAACTATGGCAAATATCCTCCCTACGAGGCAATCTATGGGGGAGGCCTATGTTCAGCAGTGGACTTTAATAGGCTGTAGATGGATGTATAGAGGATAATCTACCAGGAGCACATGACCCACTGAGAGGCGAAGTTTTCAAATCAACAGTAACATTACAACTATGGCAAATGTCCTCCCTATGAGGTGATATATGGGGGAAGCCTATGTACAGCAGTGGGCTTAAATAGGCTGTAACCGTAACGGTACATTAAATATACATATAACCTTAATCTCTAAAATTCTGTTTCACAGCTCACGTCAGGAGTGGCTGGTCTACTTATAAACGTCACTGGCAATTGGATCATCAGCCTCGTTCTTTTCATTATTTTTGTATCAGGTGTCCTCAACTTTGGATACCTTTCGACCTTTAGCGTTGATATTTTCCCGACGTATGTCAAGTAAGTAAATGTTTAGTATACCTGCCTGCATCTGTTTATATATTAGTTTGTTGTGTGTTAGAGATATTTATAACACAATCTAGAAAGTAACTATTTCATTAAAAAAGCTTAGACACATAGACATACTTAACTAAAATCAATAATGTCCTCCAGACCGAATTTCGGTCATGGCGGCCAGTCGTCAACAAAAACTAGCCATCTGCACAGGATAGGATTATAGTGCCCAAGTGTATGCGCAAACACAAGTACACTCTTTACTCCCTCACTATAGTCCTATGGGAAGGTTACCCAACACGACCGAAGAGAAATCATGCGTAGAACCAATGGCTGAACGTGCTTTCCGAGGCACAGGGGTATCACCGTCAAATTCCTGACTCCGGGCTGCTCCTGAGTATTTCTTGCCAGAAAATTCCAACAGCTGATTTTGGTCCAACCTTGACCTCATGATTAGCAACTACATTTGCGACCACTTGACCAAGGAGACGGTCCATTACATAAATTTATTACATACATAATTAAATAATACATGGACAAACTGTTTAGCGTTGGAACTAATATTTTATACAGCAAAGGAATAGTTGAGGTGATCGCTACCAAGCTATTTCTAATTTGTTTTGTGTGGTTAGTTGTGATTACATGATTGTAAGCTGTTATTTAAAAAAAGTCCCGCTGGGTTTCTTGCTGGTTCATCCCAGGACAGAGGTTTTTTTTGAATCCAGTGGTAATTAAACAAAAGAGTGAATGTCAATAAGTATTACTTATAACCTATATTGAATAAAAAAGTTTCTGTTTCTGTTTTTGTTAGCTATGTTATGTTTGGAAGTAGAAGTCCGTTGACGAGCTTACAAATATTAGAAGAACACTAGCTTACCCGGCTGTGTTAATATAAGCTAAATCTAAGTAAACTAAATGTTCTTACGTGGTAGAGCCATGCTGCAACTATCTGGTCTCCACTGGTGGTACTTCCCCGGTCGGCTCGACCGGGAAAGGACCACGCTGTCACAGAATACCAGGGTAAAGTAGCAGCTTAACACTTCTGTGTTTCGTATGGTGAGTGTAGAGAACCGGAGACCCTTTTCACTGGAAAAGAGGCATTCCATCTTAGTCCTCACGGGTGACAACGCATCTGCATTTTGATTCGCAAACGAGGACAAATGTAGATGTCTATCGGCCACAGCAACCACTTATCATCAGGTGGACTGTGTGCTCATTTGTCACCCTTATTCTATAAAAAAAGAGAAAATCTGAGCATAGTCCTCTCCATAGCTCGCTGAGTGACCATGACCTTCCTCATACGGCCAGCAGTTAAGGACCACGTATCTTAGATTCAAACCAGCGTAAAATAGCAGCTTAATGCTGCTGTGTTTCGTATGGTGAGTGTAGAGAACCGAAGACCCCTTTTTACTGGAAAAGAGGCTTTCCATCTTAGTCCTCACGTGTGACAACGCAACTGCATCTTGAGTCTTTATTGAGGATAGATGTAGATGTCTATGGGTCACAGTAACCACTTACCATCAGGTGGACTGTGTGCTCGTTTGTCACCCAATCCTATAAAAAAAAATGTTATCACTGGCAACAGGCACTGGTTGCGCAATCTCGTTTTCAAGTTTTGAGGTTTGAAGAGATGTGTCGTGATATCCGAAACGCTGTTCAGTTGAGTTGAATCCGCCGATTGTTTCGGTTCCAGTCAAAGTCGCGACTGGTCTAGACGGTTCATTTGTCTTAAATAAACATATTCATTGACAGCTTCGAGCATAGTGCTCCCAACATCCACCGGCATAGGTGTGACATGAACGTTACACATAGCCTTTGTTTTACAGGTTCATTTTAAGACTTATCAGTAGGGAGTCACTGTTGAGGTCAAATGAATATATTAATGAATATTTAGTTCTAAGGAGCTTTATTTTATCTCCCTTGTTCTATTCTGAACAAGGTGGAAGGTCAAGTCTCCTAGACAGGATTGCCACCAAAAAACCGCTCAATCGATTTCGATAAAATTTAAATGGGATCACCTTCGAACATTGACTTATATACATCGGTCACTAATAAAAAACTAGATACACCATCAGTGACAAAAATGTCCTTACCGAATGAGCGCCCACTCTAACATTTGGGTGCGCTTTTAATTTGTACGTAGCTTTGTGAATACAACTTTAGGCAATTAAGGTTGAATTTACATTAATGTATATTTATTTATACTAGAATTACGTTAAAACAATTGGCGACAGTTTTTAGAGATCTTTTATATGGGATTGTGTATCTAGTTTTTTTTTTAATATTAAATAGCGTTAGAGATCGTAGAAAGTAGACGTAAATGAATGACAATAATATATCCGAGCGTTAAGCCAAGTAATTTGAATTGAAAGTGTTTTTCTTTTTTATTACAAAATTACATAATCTACATTTTCACAATTCATACATAAATACAGTGTGTAATAAATATATGGTACAGTGCAACCAAAGACATTTAAGTAGTAATAATACATATATATTTAAATCTCTTTGAGTGCAACATATATAACATTTTTCTGCACACTGCAGTTCGCCGTCTTTCGAGTATATTCATTTAAATATTATTTAGAGTAAGAAGGTAATTTATACGTGGTAGAGCTATACTGCAGCTATATTAAGGTTGTAACACGAATGAGCCAGCTCAACCGGGGAAGGACCACGTTCTAACAAAATACCAACGTGAAATAACAGCTCAATGCTGCTGTGTTTCATATGGTGAGTGTAAAGAACCGGAGACCCTTTTTACGAAATCCGAGGCATACGATCATAGTTCTAAGGAGTGAATTTAGATTTCTATGGGCCACAGCATTCACTTACCATCATGGGTAGGATACGTAGCGAGGTATGTGTTTTTTTTTTTTTTTTTTTTTTTTTTATAGGATCGGGTGACAAACGAGCACACAGTCCACCTGATGGTAAGTGGTTACTGTGACCCATAGACATCTACATCTATCCTCAATAAAGACTCAAGATGCAGATGCGTTGTCACCCGTGAGGACTAAGATGGAATGCCTCTTTGCCAGTAAAAAGGGTCTCCGGTTCTCTACACTCACCATACGAAACACAGCAGCGTTAAGCTGCTATTTTACGCTGGTTTTCTGTGAGAGCGTGGTCCTTCCCCGGTCGAGCCGACCCATTCGTGCTACAACCACAATATAGCTGCAGCATGGCTCTACCACGTAGGAAACCACGTGTTTGCTAAGAACCAATAGAATCACTTCATTTACCTAGCCTCGCTCAGCGCAGCTCTAGTGAAACCGGCTCAACGGAGAGAGGTTTTTGTATATACAAAACAAGCGAAGGATGTGTGCGAGGGATGTGTGCTAGGCAATATTGGGAATATTAGAAGCATAGGGCAGTGGCGCGCGCGCCCCGTTCCCCCCACACCTCACCCCGCTCGCACCTGAAACGAGCCTCGCTCCGCTCATCTGCGCACCGTTTCACAGCGTCGCTACGCATCCTCGCACTGCCTACCTACCTCGCACATCTTTGGTGGAAACTCAGCCTTACTCTATAAAAATAACGCGAGGATGAGTTGTGAATATTGCGATGCAATCACAAATTAAATAGGGATGATCAGAAACTATTGTAGATAAAATGGATGCACATGAGAAAATGTTTGGTTACGAGTAGTGTACACAGAGTTATCTGAGGAAAAAATATTTTATATTTTTTTAATATGGCAAAATATTTTATTTTACTTCTAAGGGCCATGGCAGTTTGCTTGACGCTGATGGTCGGTAGAGGCAGCTCGGTACTAGGCATCAACATTCTCAAGCAGTTGTTGGTGAACAATTGCGAGGTCTCCTTCTACTTCTTTGCAGGCCTCACGTTTGGTAACTATATTTTTATAAACAAAAAATTACCCCCCAAAAAGAGAAAATTCTCATGTATAATAGTTGTAGTACTTTAATTATATATATTACACATGGATAAACATCCAGCTGGAATAGTTATTTATATGTTTCTTAACGTGGTAAAACCACAAGCGACGTATATTATGGGTGCAATATTAAAAATGTTCTAAAGTCCGTGTTTCGATTACAGCGGCATCTCCACAGAAACTAACCATCTGCGCAGGAAAGGATTATGGTGCACGAGTGTGTGCGCAAGCACAGGTGCACTCTCTATTTCCTGATGGTAAACTCTGAAAGTAGGATGGTAAACCGACACGATTGGAGAGATCGGGCGTAGGACCAACGGCTTTACGTGTTTTCCGAGGCACGGGAGTGAGACACCGCCAACTTCCTGACTACGGGCTGGTACTGAGAATTTCTTAACAGAAAATCCAATAACTGCTTTTTGCCCGACCGATTCGAAAGGCTACCATGGAATAGCAACTACTGGTCGTAAACACTAGAACAAAGATGCATTCATGGGTGTAGTATGAATGTGAAATGAGTAGACCGCGCTCTCACAAAATACCAGCATAAAATAGCAGCTTAATGGTGCTGTGTTTCTTATGGAGAGTGTGAGGAACCGAAGGCTTTTACTGGTAACTAACCATTCCAACTAGTCCTCAGAGGTGACAACGCATCCATTTTTTTTTCTTAACCGAGAATAGATGAAGGTCCATGGGCCCTTTACTTACACTATCATGTGGACTGTGTTGGTTTGTCAGCCTTATTTTATTAAAAAAAATGTCATATGAACATGTTCACAAGTCCACTGTTGAACATAGGCCGCCCTCAAGGAATGCCACAAAGCACGTTCCTGTGCTACATGAATTCTTTTAAACCATTTAAAATTCGTTTTTGACTCATTTTTTACAGTTGGTGGCCTAATTGGGTTCCTGCTACCTCCAGACATTAAAAGAAAGAAGATCTGAATTGGAGGTCACATTTGAATATGAAAATACACTCGTGACTGTAATATAGTATTATATATATATAGTATTATATATATATATTTTAATTAATTTGGTTGAATGAAATAAAAATAGTTTTAAGGAAGTTGTCGTTTTATTTATATGAAACGTTGAATATTTATTTATTTATTCACAAATTGCGTTACATGTAAAAATTTTATTACAAATAAAACTAATTTTACAAATTTTATCACGTGCAATTTACCTCTATTTATTTATTTTTAATTTCCGAGGTGTTAACCATGGTGCCCTTTATGACTACCGAGGAACTTCGGGAATAAGAAATAAGTTAAATTACGTAATACGAGATAAATTCCGTATGTTTTTTCTAGAATAAGGTTGACAAACGAGCACACAGTCCACCTAATGGTAAGTGGATCATGTAGCCCATAGATGTCTCCATCTATCGTCGATTAAGAACCAAAATGCAGATGTGTTCTCTGCGGTGTTGTGGTCTGCGGTTCTCTACACTCACCATACGAAACACAACAGCACTGAGCTGTTATTTGACGCTAGTATTCTGTGAAAGCGTGGTCTTTCTCCGACCGAGTCGATCCATTCGTGCTTACAACCATAATATAACTGCGGCGTGGCTCTACCACGTGTAATAGTTTTTTTCCAATGTCAGGTATTCGTATAAATAAAAAATAATTATATGAAGCGATATCTGCAAGTTGCTGTTGTTAGCAATAAAATCACCTATTGTATGTATCTATAGCGATACAAGATCTAGATACTAGATCCGACCCGGCTTCGCAAGGTTTATTTCTGGATCTCGACAACAAAGCCACCTACCAGATCCAATAGTGAATTTTCAAATGTCTAAATTCTCTAATCAACTTAATCATACCCACACAATGTCATCAAAATCGGTCCAGCCGTTTAGGAAGAGTTCAGTCACACACACGGTCAGAAGAATTATATCTTTATATATAAAAATTACGTGTCATGTTATTTGTCCGCGATGAACTCCTAAACTATTGAACTGACTTCAATAAAATTTTGCACACAGCGTGAGTTCGGTCCATCTTAAAAGATAGGATAGTTTTTATCCCGATAAGTGACCCCAATATTTTTTATTGTGAATTTAAGATTTTTTTAATAGGACAAAGGGTCGTTGGTATGAGCAGAAAAGCGTCTGCCTGGCCAACTAGTAGTATATAAAATGCATGTATTGTACATATACCTTTTTGTCCTGAATCATCCTGTCTATTGGTGAAAACCGCATCAATCAAACAATCCGTTACGTAGTTTAAAAGATCTAAGCGTACAGATGGCGGTAAGCGACTTTGTTTTATATTATGTAGAAATTTGATTATTTCGAGCATATATCACAGTTTGATAGGCAGGCAGGCGGTTCTGAGCAAGGTGTTCACGTGCTGTAATGCTGCTGTCTGCTGGCTGCGTGGCTCTACCACGTATAAATCTCTGTGTGAGAGCCTTCGAAATGAGGTTATTTACTGTAGAACAAGAGTAATCAATATAGCTTAACGGGTCAGTACCTGAAGTGGTAATGGGCTGGCCATAAAGTAAAAAGACCCGGTAACCCATCAGGAAGAAAAGGTTATCGAATCGCAACCTCGTACCGCTAAGCGAAGTGTAGAGCGATCACCGAGTAGAATGAGTGACGACCTGGTAAGTGATACCTGGTAAGAGGCTCGGGACCGTGCTTTCTGGCATTCCTTGAGGGAGGCCTGTGGACCTGTGAAGGTTAATGAAAATATTAAGTTGGACTGATACCGTGTAGTGGTGGTGTAAAAATATCTTCTACCCCATATCATCCCGTGGGTATTGTAAGAGGTGACAAAGGGAAACAAATCAAGAGATGGGCAGCAGCGTCTTACTAATAACGACTTAAAATAAAAAATTGCAGCTGCCAACCTGCTTGTCAAGCGTGGCAACTATAGAAAATCCCCCCCCCCCTTATGAGGGAATCTATGGGAGTAGGCTGTAACGGTAACGGTAAGTCCGACTGAATTAGCTGCGCAAGAAATACTTAATTTTAATATTTAAGAGTTCATCAATAATTGCATTATTTGTAATAATCACTGAATTTTTATGATTCTTTTCTGTTCTGTGGTCATTTATAATAATACTATTTCATACATATAAAATTACGTTTCTAGCGCCATCTATGATCTAGTAGTGCAAATAGTGCTTAACTCGTTTATTCGCCCATAGATGTCACTCAAATTATTTTCATGCAGAACTGATTTATTTAAAACCTAAATAACTTTAAGGAAATCTGTTAATAATTTGAATAATGTATCTTGAATTCCAAATAACTAAATTAACATTATTCCTATTATTACACCAACAGTGTTGTAGCATAGCGGAATATTCACTATCCCATTCGGTTACGTGGGCAGTCGTAAGAATCGACAGAGGGAAACAAACCAGATCAGAAGCAGCGTCTTTCTAGTAACAACTAGAGAACAAAAATACTGTAGTTGCCAGCCCGCTGGCCAAGTGTGGCAACTATGGTAAATACCCCGCTAGCGACAAATATCCCTTTACGAGGAAATCTATGGGAAGTAGTGTTGCCCAAATGCAAGAACAAGACGAGACTTAGCAAGTCTTGGTCTTGGTCTTGCGCCAATACACCTGGTCTTGGTCTTGGTATTGCGCTCCGAGTCTTGGTCTTCGTCTTGGTCTTGCAGCAAGAGTCTCGCAAGTCTCGCAATGACCTATTAGCCTATTACTATTTATTAAACATTACTTTAGATCTTAGAACAACTTAACAGAGTAGGTACATATTGAGCTTGAATTAACATAGCCATAGTAAAGACCAACCATATTAATAAATGTCTAAACATTTAATGAGAAATTCGAAAAATCAACTGACACCGGGTGGGGTTTGAACCCACGACCTAAGCGATCCGTGCCGATGCTCCAACCAACTGAGTGTCCAACGACCACGGGCGTCAGTTTCTTAATAAACGTTTACATTTAATAAGCTTACATGTGCTAAAACATGGTTAAACATACATATAAAAACAAATTAATGGCTATAACTACACTGTATTTTAAATAACATTATCTCTCTAGAAAGAGATTGGTGGACCCTCACCATATATGAACTGGAATAAAAGAGTTATACAATATACCATTTATTTAAATAAAAAATAAAATACGATGCAAATTAAATTACTTCACAGTATGTACACAACAGCTTTGACATTACTGTTACTTTATATTTATTCTTTTGACAAAGCATTAATACAAAGTAACCATCTGGCTGACTCATCACTTAACCTATTTCTATGTTTTCTAATTACCAATGATACTTTAGAAAATAATCTCTCAGCAGGTACTGAAGTTGCAGGTATAAAAAGAAAATCACGGGCCATCTTCGATAAAATCCGATATTTTGTCTCATGCGTCCTCCAACAGTCTAAAATGTCTTCCGAGATGACGGCTCTGGGTTTACCTAGGTACCTCTTCAACTCCTTAATAACTAAGCCTTGAAGACAAGATCCAGATCCATTTCTACACATTTCAAGTGTTTTAAAAGTGCTATGGTGTCCATATTTATCAAATGTGTGCCGACATAATCGAGCACTTTGTGTTTTAAAAACACACACTTGCAAAAGTCGAGATATGTAGTGAACTTACTGAACATGTTTATCTTTTAGGTAATAATAATAACAATAATAGTAAGTAATTATTATAAATCCATATAGTTAATTTTATAATAATTAGTTACTAGAATAAATTATTATGATACCTACCTATTATCTAATTACAATATTCCTTGCCAGATCAGCATAATGTATTCGTGTCCATTCTGAGCACCCGGAAACTTATTTTATTCTTTGAAACATGTACTCTGTGGCAGCAGTCAAACAGTGTTAAATGTAGTGCGTGTGGCGCGACGGCGACGATTGTATGCGATATCAATAGTAGCCGCCGGCACATGTATCTTGACCTTGTACTTTCAAATAGCTGCACAATTTCTTTGACAGGTCAGTATCCGACCTTTGATGACGCCGACAACAAGACGCCGCGCACTATCAAAGTGCCGATGGTCAAAACTAGGGATGCACTCTTTTTTCTTTTAATGGATATTTTCATTCGCTATGTATATTTATGGTATTGTTCGTAATGCGCATAAGTTCAATTTTCCAATTTTTTTTAATTATATTTTTTTGCGTCTCATAGAGTACCTAAGCGTATACCCGAACTGCGCAAATCTTGCACGGTCAGTCTTGGTCTTGGTCTTGCTAAAAAGAGGCGGTCTTGTTCTTGGTCTTGGTCTTGCAAAAATGCAAGAACAAGACCAAGACCGATTTTGGGCAACACTAATGGGAAGGCCTATGTACAGTAGAGGACTTTGATGGACTGTGATGTAGATGATCATAAACATATTTTACGATATGATTTCAAGACAAAACCAGTTGTATTAGAAAAAATAACACACTTGTGTTCACTGGTTTACAAAATTATTTATGCATTATTTACATTATAAATTATTATTATTAAAAAAATCTGTAACTTTCTTACTGGTCCATTTCGGGATTTTTTTCCGATACATTGTAAGAAGCATTAGTTAGGTACGTATTTTTTATAATCTTCTAGCTGGTACCGTGCGCGTTGCTACCGCAGAAAAAATAAGTGTGGAAATATCGTATTTCAAATTTGGAACAGTTATATTGTTTAATTAGGAATAATAATAATTCATTGAAATTTAGTGATATATTATATTCCTTTCAAATAAATTTGTCGGTACGATACGCGAGTCACCTGTAAGTTAATTGCACTATGCCCATAACCTTCGCGTAAGTGCAAGCAATAAGTTGACAAAGTTTCACCGCAATATATTGAACGGCATGGCAGCGCATTAAATACGAACAACCAAAAATATATTTATTTTTATATTTTTGTTTGTATTATTTTGTTCTACCCTCAATAATTTTCACCTTATAATACACTTCAGGTTGTTTCGTTCATTTGAATCGCGG